ATTCCCCATTAGTAACCATTGGCATGTCCATTGAGCAATATCTGACAAGAAAGGGTTGCTACGGTATACTCGCTGGGCGTAACCTCCTTGGTTTTAGAAAGGCTTAGCGAGCGTTGTGCCGAAGTGCCATGAATACAGTGAACTAGTATATACCATAAACTCGAGGTGGTTAAAGGTGGGAAGTAGACACGAAGCGCAAACCGCAAGAAAGTGTATGTGGGCCACCTCTCGTTTAGTCCTTGGATGTTCGCTTGGTGGCCCCGCTTCTATATGCAGAATATATGTTGAAAAGATGTGAGATGGTGGTACTTGGAGTGTTGACTAGGTGGACGAACGGGCACACAGGCAGATGCATGGATGGACGCACGGATGGCTGCACGGATGGATGGACGCATGGACAGACGCAGGGGCGGATGCATAGACGAATGCCGTGACGGGCGCACGGAAGGACGTGCGGACGCACGAACAGACGCACACCTAGATGGGCGGACGGACGCTTAGATGGTCGCACAGACGGACGCATGGACGGACGGAAGCAAGAACGAATGGACGGACGAATGCCTCGCCCTACTCTCCATCATTCACCCCGTGAATATGCTGCCATTTTTTTTTCTTTGGAGGCATCTGTGCTGCCAGCGCTGACACCACGCACAGTGCACCAGCACCACGATAATAAATGTGGCGCACTCGGTTTGCTCCGCTCACACAGCTGGTAACGATCAACTAATTGGCACTGGTCTCCAGAGTTCTCGCTGATAACGAGATCCGGACGTGACTCTCCGGTTTTGCGACTTCCGATCACTCGCATGGAACCTCTGCCGGTGTAAACTTCAGTCGCTTTTTGGTCGCCATTCGCGAATGGTCGCACGACCGCTGCTAGTCGCCGGTGAGCAGGAGCCTTTAGCTTTTTTTATTTCCTTTTTTTGTTCGCACGCAAATAATTACAGATCTTCGTTGCATGAAAAGGTCCACTCGAGGTTTCCCTCGGAACAAACTTCTAGGGTGTCTAAATATAGGGATAGCAGATGGAAAAAAAAAGGCAAGACATCAGGGATAACTAAAAATACAAAAATAGTACAGCAAAAACTAAACGCAAGAATAATGATGGCGAGTTTCGTGAACAACATAAAGCGTGGTGCGAAAGAAAACAATCACAGGCCTGAATACCTTTCCTTAGTATTGTTATTATGAATGTTATTTGATTTCTTATTGTCATAAAAGAGCTTCATACGTAAGTTCTCAAGATGAACACTGTAACACCAATTTGTACGGAACGAACAGAACACGTTGAAAAAAAAACATAACACTTCATAGCGCTAGAGCATGTCTCGAAGGCACGGAGCAATTACGAAGCTGCTTAGTGTTGTCACATCCGGGGATGGTTTGCTTTGCTTATGAAGAGCGTCATTCATTAGGCACCGTCCCAACACAGCGCATACACATTCGTAGTGGTTCATTATGAAGAACGGTAATATTGTTTTCAGCGTACTGCATGCTTGGTGAAAGACCTCATATAATAAAATGCCAAAATATTTGAACTTGAGTTCCAACAACTTGAAAATGATCATATGGAGTTTTTAGAGAGTGAAGATCTTGGCCATTGGAAAAGAAAGTAAAACAGTTCTTCGAGCAGCCCCACCACTGTGCGTTTCGATCAAAGCGCCCTAAAAATTTCCCTTCGTATTGAATTATCGTCATTGAAGCATTTACTCTTAGTTTGGCTAGTGTATAGCCTACTACTTTGCGCGCAGACATCTGTTTACAAACTTGTATAGAGCTCTAAATATTCAATGATTTTGCTCTAGCCTGCGTCACTTATTAAGAAGACTATTGGTGGAAAGCCTTCAGATTTACTGATGTGCCAAAACAATGTTACTGCATTCGTACTCTGTCTTCAAATACTAGACTATTTGCTGTTGAAATTTTACCTGTACAGCTGAATTTTATTTGCAAATTTGCCAAACGACTAGGAAGCCTGCTGAAAATAAATACGAATAAATTAAACTGAACAATGCACTTTTGTAATGACCGAAAAATTAAGACCACCTCTTTTTTCTTTAAAACCACTTGCGCGCGTGTCCGAGCTGGAAAAGTGTCACTTTTGGGTTTTACGAAAAGGCGAAAGGGGAAGATAAAAGCTTGCGATGAGAATTTCATAAACAAGATGTGGGTGCTGAAGCCGACATTTCGACAAGTAGAGTGGTCTCTTTCAAGGCTGTAAATGAATTTCTTAGCGCTTGTGTGTGCGTAGTTCTTACCCAATCCCGCAATACAAACAAACGAGATGGAAACGAGAACTGTGAAAGCGAGGGTGCTGTACCATAAAAATGCATGGTCAGAAATATGAACACTCATAAGAAATAATGTATTTGCTTTAGAACAACGAAAAGAGGTGGGTACATACACGTTTCGATGATTTATGGATGTCAGAAGAAAATTCAGCTGCACCATTGTAGGTTAGAATTTCGCGGGAGACAGACTTGACACTCTTCGGTTTCCATAGAATACGTAATATGTAGCATATCGAATGGATTCAAGAGCCTCCTTTGAATCGTCTATAAGTGCACGCTGGAGTGTACTAAACTTTTTAATAAGGTATGACTACATATATTTTTTGCCTCTTGGAGAACAGAAGTCATACAGAAGTATGTCTTGTTTAAGGTGCTCGAAGTTGTGACCTGCTGCATAAAATTGCTGTGCCACTGCTGTCGGTTATTTCTACGCCATGTCATAACGATGCCCGTATAATCCCACATAACTGGTTGCCCTAAATCAGCAATACGTACCATTTGCTACAACATGTATATTCGATGATCTTGACAAGCGTTGAATTAGCGGAGTGAAACCTATATTTTATATGATGGAAGGAAATGCATCCGGTGTATATTTTACAATGATTTCATCGTGAAGGTGTTCGCAAATCTTAACTTATGGACCATAACAAATTGTTTTGCGGGCAGTGAAATGAGGGTTGGCTTCTCCATGCACTAACACTTCGCAATAATTCCAGTTGCGCCGATGCACGAACTTCCGTACTTCGAGTGACGCTTTTATAAGGCACTCGTTGTGGGATAGTATTGAATAATATTAACCTTTTAAATGCCGCACTATGAAGCAGTAGCAAGAAAACTAAAATTTATGTTGATAATTTGCATTGGCCTTCTAAATTAACTATGATCAAAAATACAGCCACATTCACAATGACTAAGCATGTTTTTTCGCATGTTCCATTTTTGGAACATTGGCATTTCCCATATGCAAAACACACATTTTCTCTGGAACAACTTTTATTGACTTTTCAGTCGGGTTTCCTTATTCAGGATAACTGAAGAATAATATTTAGCGTCATACGATGTCTCTGAAAAGTATAAATATTTATAACAACACTTTCTGAAAATTTCTTCTTTCATACTACTGGCTGTACTACAGTGAGCAAGTCACAAACCGTGGTAAGCGGCAAAGCCTTTCTTGTGCAGCCGCTTTTTGCACTGCTGGCACTGATTCGTTGTATTCTTCTTGCATTCCGCGCACCTTCCCCGAGTCGTTGAGATGATGTAGTGGCCATCAGTTTTAGATGCGGGGCATCTAATACTCGAGGCTTGTAATGCGGCGCCGTCCGCAAGCTTCGTCCTCCTTCTTCCACCATCTGTGCATCCCTTCCTCCTCTACACACCGCGCGCGCTTCACTCCTCCACCATCTGTGCACCCTTCCTCCTCTACACACCGCGTGCGCTTCTCCTCTTCACGAACATTCGCTAGCGGTATAATGTAGCGCGCATGCGCCGTCACGCTTCGAGAACATCGGCAGCTGACGCGCGCGCATACGCCGTCGCGCTTCGAGAACATCGGCAGCTGACGCGCGCGCATGCGCCGTTGCGCTTCTCGCCCTTCTCGAACATTCGACAGCTGACAGTGCATGCGCCGTCGCGCTGTATATATACTCAAGGTCGGCGCTCGCTCGCTCAGTTGCCGCTCGTCGGTTGGTTTGTACGGCGCGTCGACGTCCAAGGTCGCGGTGAAATGAATTCCAACGAATCCACAAACACAATGATCGACGTCCCTTCGACCAGCGCCGCCCTTTCGCATACGTGTGTACGTGTTCACTCATTTAACACCCCCTCCTACAACCACGTTAACCAATTTAGCCATCGACCCAAGTAAGTCGCAATTTAACACCCCATTTCACAACCACGTTAAGCAATTTAGCCATCGACCCAAGTAAGTCGCACTTTAACACCCCGTTAACCAATTATATGCTCCGCATCCTCCTCAGTGTTCCCCCGAGGGAAGCTGTGGGCAATTTTTTCTGTCCTCATGTCTCGGATGAACCCGGGGTCTAGGTCTTACAGTGAGTTTCTGCTTGTGCTGCAGCAAGGACATGGTGACGTCCCGCCGAAAGGCGATGTGCGTCATGGCGGCATCACTACCCTTGTGAAGCTCGCAGTGGAGGAGCCATCCTGCGACGACAGCCATGTTCAAACCATTGCTGGAAAGGTTCCACCACCATTTCTTGCTCCTCAGTCTCGGTCGATAGCTTCCGAGGAGGCGGTCCATTACATCTACTCCGCCCCTGCCCTCATTGTATTTTCTGATCAATTATGGTTGAAGAATTTCCACCTTTTTTTTGAGCGTCGTGAGGAGCGTTTCGCACTTCCAACAGGCTCGTGGCTGAGGTGGTTAGAAGAAACTGTGACGACTGCATTGCCATTCCACCAGCATGCGCAGACTGCCCCGTCACACTTGTAGTGGAAAGATCCTCTTTCTTCCTTTTCGATGTTTTTCAAGCTCTTCAGTGGACAACCACCGGTTCTTGAATCTCGCACAGCCCCTGTCGCTCGAATCCCCTTGTCAGCCAGTTTCGTCAAGAGGCCGTGCGAAGTGAAGAAGTTGTCAAAGTAGACTTCGTGATGTTCAGGCGCTTCCATGACCGATACCATGTTGCTAACAACCCTGGTCCCGAGAGGTGTCTTGTCGTCCTTCTCGTTCTTCTCACAATATATTTACATCGCATAGGGGTAGCCCTTCGAAGAGCACATCATCCATATTTTGTACCCAAATTGAAATGGTTTACCGCGAATGAACATTTTGCACGAGTGGTGGCCATAATAGGGCACCATTGACTCGTCGATGCTGAGCCTTTCTTTGAACACTCCAAACTGGCGGAAACATTTGGAGATTCCGTCGTAAAACGGCTGAAGTTTGCCCATTTTTTCGCCTGCTTTCAACTGAGTGTTGTCAACAACATGAAAGAACCTTTTCAGCTGCCGGAACCTATTGCGGGCCACCACTGTCGCGACTATAGGCACATAAAGATCTTCTGCAGTGCTCCAATACGACTCATCAGACGGAACGGAGTGGTACGAGCTGAAAAGTAAGATGCCGAAAAACTGACCTATGTCCGCTCCTGTGACGTCCACCTCCTCCCTCTTTTGGAGTGCGTATCTTGCAGTTAGTTCAGCCAGTGAACCAAGATACTCCGGAGAAATAAATTTGCTGAACAGCATAAATGGGCTCATGTTTGCAAGATCAGGAAATGCCTCTAGCAACAACGGAGGAGTCTCGCTGGGAAGTGTTTTGTCAAACGTGGCCTGGTCACCCCATACTGGTGTATGGGAGTGTTTTGGAGTATTTGTTTTACGAGCGTTCGTTGAAGCTTTGCGTCCTTTTCCAGCAGTGAATTGCCGCCCTGCTGGTTTCTTTCGTCGTGGCTCGGGACTCGAACATGCAGAAGGTGAATGAACGTCTTCATCCCTGCACTGCATAACCTCAACGTGCCCACAAACATCATCAGGAACAACTTCAGAAAAGTCGTTTTCGTTCACGTGCTCCTGGTCAGTAATATTGCCATCTTCAACAGGCGGCAATTGGTATACAGACGCACCTTCGCGTTCGTCATCGGGAAGGCTGAACAAAAGGTCAATTGCTGCCTCCAAAGTCAGGAAGCGTTGTGCCATGACCTAAAACGAAAGTTATTGCGGTGTAAAGCACAGTACTACAAAAATAAAACCAGCCAAAAGGTAGTTTTCTACTTACATTCACAGGGATTGATGCAGCTAGGCACTGTAGTTCAATGCTGCTCTTTCCACGTGTCTGGCAAACTCAAAATGACGCCCAGAAAAGGTTACGTTCAAGTTTCTGCCAAGCGCCACCCAGCGGGCGCCATCGACAAGGCAAAAAAAGAAAAAGAACAAGGCGAAACGCTCGCGCTCATCTACGCTGCGTTTGACACTGTGAAACGCCAATGTTCCAAAAAAGGAACATCCGCACAAAGCTCTCAAGCTGAAAACTAGATTGTCCTTGTTATTTTTTTATTGTATTGCCGCATAATCCCGAACTATTTGCCTATATTTTAGTTCTGCTTTGCTTACTGCAACATTACTTTTTCCTGCGGAATAATGCACCAAACATCTGGTGGTCAAGGAGCGCAAAATATGCCTGTTTTTAAAATTTTATCTAATGATTCTCCGCAGGTCCATAATAGAAATTAAAACTGCTACGTTTTTCACAAGCATCAATGAGTATGCATAAACATAAAATTTTAATATGCGATATATTGGAGAAGAAATAAAAAATTAGGTTTCGTATGTTCCAATTTTGGAACATTGGCAAGTAAAAGGTTAAGGCAGAACATTACTTATACTTCGCTGCCCACTTTTGTATTTGCTTATATAGGTTAGCGGCTGGCTGCGTAGTGCTGAGGGGAATGTTAAAGCTATCGCAGATATTCTAAATTGCATGTTCCTTGTACACCTTATAGCGCGTCATCCCGGTCATTTCTTCACTCTTATGCTTGATTTAGGTTGTCGGAGGGATGATTGTATTCACTTTCTTCAGTAAAGCCCTTTTTTATACGCCTTCCCAGTTTGCAGTGCCATGGGTGATGCCTATTGTTATTGAGATATTGTTGGCTGTGTCAGTTTACTGTAGAGTGATGTGTAATATTCATTTTGATATTATATCACCGTATACTTGAAGCTAATTTTACCGTAAGAATGGTGCTTGGTAAATTTAATGTAGTGAGACATTTTACAGTAGTTCATGAATGCGTTTAGCGAGCTAACGCTGTTTCCTTATGATTTTATTAGGTTAGAATATATGTAACGCTCAAAAACGTATATGTTGTCGCAATAAGCTTTCCTATACTAGGAAAAAAATTTTGTAGGTTACAGAAGCAATCAGATTAAAAAAAATCAGGCTATAAAACTAATCTCAGTAGCGAGAGGTAGAAGTAAACGTTAGAATTGTGTGTCTACTGCTTTTTTGAGTGACCTTAACACCACATTAGTCAGTGCAGCGATAGGTATACTGTGAGATGACGTTCAAGGTGCAAGCCTCCTCTTTAACCGCACTCTAGCCAGAGCCCTACTACTTAGGGCCAATGAATGATGATGGGTATTTACAAATAAATAGATGAAGCGTACGACCAACATGCTCACACTAATGTCCGCGCGCACCGAAGCTGCCTGCTTGGTCGTGACCTAGACCAGGCAAAGAAGTCGAACGAAGAGTTTGAGGCGCGAAACATGCAGTATGTTGGGGCACAGGAGCTACGGTCAGACGGAAAGTCAACGGGATTGACGCGATAGCTTACAGGTGATATTCACCCAACGATTGTGTAAGGTGCAAGGAATCGTTACTCAATCTTTTCACATAACCCGAGAACAGGGGAAGGTGTCCGAAAGATCACTTTGTCACCAAGGCGAACAGAGAAGTCCCAATCAGAGATGTCGTACCGCAGCTTGCGATTATGTTGACTGGCTTTTGTAGTTAACCGGGAAAGTTGCCGAAACTTTTGAAGCCTCGAGACGAGTTCTTCGGGAGTAGTTAGCGATATAATAGTATTAGTACTTTGGAATGAAACGTCAATTGTGAACATCACCGAATGGCATCAAATGAGGTAGAAACCTCAGTACTCAGTAGTACCTTGGACGAAGGTACTATGCGCAAATGTTACAAACGGTAAGAGTTTGTCCCAGTTCTTGTGAGAATGCCCATTATACATGGCTACCATCTCAAGTAGTGTACGATGGAATCAATCCGTAAAGTTATTAGTTTGTGGGTGGCACGCTGATGTTGTCTTGGGAACTGTGCCGCAACTTTTAAGTATTTCGTCCATTACTATGGACAGAAATGTGTTGCCGAGATCGCTTAAAAGAATGTTGGGCGCACAATAGCGAAAGACGACGGCTTCGAGAAAAAAAGGTAGCCACGTCAGATGCAGAATTAGAACACAGAGGAGGGATCTCCGCGTACAGCGTGAGATGACCAACCACCATCATGATCGATCAGAACCCTGTGGACGGAAAAGGTCTCACGAGGTCAATTCCAACAATGACAAAAGGTTCCTCGAGACATGGTATTGATTGTACCAAGCCAATAGGAGGTGAAGTTGGGTGTTTACGCTTTTGATAGAGTTCGCAAGAAGAAATGTACTTTGCGACAGAACGGAGAAAACAGGAACAATAAGTGACTCGTAATGCAGCTGTATGTTTTGTCAAATCCCAAGTGATTGGCATAAGGGTCATCGTGAAAGGCTTCAAGGAACTGCGTAAGAAGCAAACGTGGAAGGAAGGGAACCCACCGGTGTCCATCATTATTGTTGACGCATCGGTTATCACAGCGTTTTCAAATTTAAATTGCCTGAGTTGTCGCTGCAACTTTAAAAATGGTGGTGTGGACTTTTCGCAGAGTCGTTGAAACATGCGACAGCAGTATGGATCTTGCTTTTAACTGGCGACATATGAAGCGTAGCGAATAACTTACACCGAGTCAGCAACTAAATTTCCGCCTATCGTAAACAGTTTGCAAAGTGTATTAAGAACTTTCGACTTTTATGGCACCGGATCCGTTGCCGACTTGAACTTTTATGATATGTGGTGGGCTCTTCATTTCGCTTCTTTGCAGGTAGAGGGACTCGACATGGACTGCCGCGCTTGTCGTTTTCCGCATTGCACATTATACGACGTGACCAGCGTTATACGCTGTTTCTCCTTCGACAATACATCTCTGTGTTTAGCGCTGAGAGATACCAAAGGCCCGAAAGCCGCCTTAGTCTCGAAACGCGCACTCTTTTGGGTAGCCTCCATCACCTCTCGACCCGCCATATTAGAACGTGCCATACGCCACCTACAGGTGCTTGAAAGTGTGAATCACATTCATTGCTTCGCCTTTGCCGAATAACTGACTTTTTGTGTGGATTTCTAAACAACGTCAAAGGTGTCTTCTTGAAGCCGGAGCACCCAGTGTAAGGCGCCCGAACAAATTCTTCAGCGTTGACAATGAACACAGTGCTTGGTCGTACCAAATTACTGCGAAAAGACGATTGTGAAGACATGGGCGAAGCATTTATGAAGCCCTAAACCAGCCAGGCATTCCTGCAGTAGCCGTGATTGGGTAGTTTGTTCGGCCATCGTGAGTGTGGAACTTCGTCTGCTTACATATTCGTATAAATGAGAATTTGTATTCTGATGCTTACAATGTTACTATACAATAAAGATAGATGTAATGTTACCAGAATGGCATGGTTTGAGACAGGCACTGTTTCGTAATGGAACCTAATATAAGAAGGACATTGATTGTGTTGAATAGGGCATGTCAGAATAGATGGTATTGAAAGTGTAACTCTTCTTCTTAATATAGGTCTGCCTGCAGGATTAGCACCATACTTAGTTCATCTAGGGCTACCTTTTAAATGCTTGAAAGAAGGTAGAAGTGGTCTGCTTGCTTCTTTAGAAGCATCAAGTTCAAGGAGGGTGTGAGTGATACCAGGGTGATTGATACCAGGTATGATTGAAACATGAAAAGACGCACATCACAGGCTAGATGTCGTTTTTGCGGAGAGAGTCTTGACAGCCGCGATTGCGAATCTTATGACCAGAAGTGCTGCTTGTGTAAAAGAGCGCACCCTGCAGACTCGGCTGAATGTGGCGCAAAAAAAAATAGGTGTTCTAGAAATCATAGAACGCAGGCGTTGGTCTAGGAGGGAGGCGGTAGCAGAAATGCATGAAAGGATACGCAGGCATAACATCCCGGCACACAGCTGCAATGAATGCATCGCTCGAAAAGTCAATTACTGAGGCCATTGAAAAGTCTACTGAAAAGACAATGCAGCGTGTGGCAGCTACTCTTTTTGAAGCCTTGGCTAATAGGTTAAGACAACAGCTGGCACAAATCATTTCTACAGTTTCTGAGCAAAATCAGAATTCGCAGGCTCTCTTGATTTCAAGTACAGAGGAGGAAAATCTGACAGTTATTCATAGACCTATCTCTCCGAAAGCAGGACCTTCTAAATGTATAGTTAAGGCTGAGTCAGAACCTGTGACAGATGATTCAGGAGACTTTACAAATATGGACACAGAATCTCAAAAGACTTTGAAACGTAACAGATCTCCCCCTTCTAAAAAGCCTCCTCAGAACCTAGCATCCAAGAAATACCTGTCAAAGAAGGACTTCTTTTTAAACAATTCAAAAAACAATTTCTTGAAAAAAAGATATTCAGGATCAGGCACTTTTTACTGCTGATATAGCATCGAAATAGGTTCACTAAAAATTCTGCAGTGGAATTGCCAGTCTATTTTGTCGGCAAGAACAGATTTACAATATATTTCTTCGCGAATTTCTCCCGACATATTTGCCATTCAGACAACCTGGCTTGCTAATGGTAAAAAAATTCACATGAAAAATATCGATTATTCCGGATGATTTGGCCGAGTAGAGGTGGTGGTCTGGCTTTCTTAATATCAACAAAATTTAGTGAGAGAGCCAAGATATTGTATCAGTGTATGAATACGGATTACGAAATTCTCGTGTTAGACATAACACCACCAGACTGCTCGCCTTTTTCTTTTGCGAATGTATACTTTCCTGCAGGAGTGCAGGACACGAGATGCCTCGATACCTTGTTAGCTTCATGCAGAAATGAAATATTACTGTGTAGTGATTTCAATTCACACCA